TAAAATTAATAAATCAATTGCCACTCGTTTGTTTTGGGGGATTTGTATCTATACCCGCTTTTTGGGTCACGTTTTAACTGTACCCGACTTTGAAAAAAAATTGCAAGCGTACCCCATTTTTCGCGTAACTTCAGTATACGGGGCTGAAGTAGCAAAGGCAATCACGCAAAACTTCAGCATTTTAGTAGACGGGCCTGAAGTAGCAAAGGCAATGCGCTAAAGTTGTTTTGTCCTAGATAAGATACTGAAGTTATTTAGTTCATTTGTAAAAACTTCAGCACTGAAATAGCTAAGGTTTTTTTGTCCTGGATTCATTAGTTTTGTCATAAAACTTTTTCAAAAACTTCAGCAGAAGATGCTGAAGTTATTTAGTTCATTTGTAAAAACTTCAACACTAAAATAGCTGAAGTTTTTTTGTCCTGGATTCATTAGTTTTGTCATAAAACTTTTTGAAAAACTTCAGCAGAAAATGCTGAAGTTATTTAGTTCATTTGTAAAAACTTCAGCACTAAAATAGCTGAAGTTTTTGTCCTGGATAAGCTTTTTCAAAAACTTCAGCAGAAGATGCTGAAGTTATTTAGTTCATTTGTAAAAACTTCAGCACTAAATAAGCTGAAGTTTTTTTTGTCCTGGATAAGCTTTTTCAAAATCTTCAGCAGAAGATGCTGAAGTTATTTGGTTCATTTGTAAAAACTTCAGCACTATATAAGCTGAAGTTTTTTTTGTTCTGCATTCATTAGTTTTGTCATTAAGCTTTTTCAAAAATTTCAGCAGAAGATGCTGAAGTTATTTAGTTCATTTGTAAAAACTTCAACACTAAAATAGCTGAAGTTTTTGAAAAAGCTTTCTAACATCCTAGATAAATAATCACCTTATTCTTTCATAGTGTATTACTATTATAAAATAATCAGATTGCCAACAATATCTAAATCATAAATTTTGGAAATAATAAACGTGAAAAGAACAGAATTACGTGGAAATATTCACAAATTATTGTCTACTAACTTATGTAATTATTTATAATTTATTTTTAAATAATCTGATAAACATACTTATGGCAATCATCCCATGAACTGAAATTTCATAGCAGCACCAACAGCAGCGGAAGAAAGAAGAAGAAGAAGAAGAAAACGAAGGAGGAGAAGGAGGAGGAGAAAGGGGGCTGAAATTGTTTAAAAAGTGGGTACATGTTAAAACTTTTAAAAAAAAATGGATATAGGTTAAATGGGGGCGACCAATGCAATTTTTACCTTCATTTGAGTCACAGAAGTAGTATTAATTATGGCAACATATTATTGCATGTATAAGTCTGATTAAAACTCAATTAACTTTTCAAAGTATGTGAGTGGGATATCACCATTTTCCACTATATAATTAGCTTTAGTTTAAAATAGAAATTAGGACCTAAAACTTCACCTATATATTCGTGAGTTGGAAAGCACATATAACGATTGCTAATTGCGCCACTTTTATTGACTTGTTTTTCTAATTTTACTTTTATTTTATTGTCATAATTTGTATCTTTCATTATAATTTATTTTTACAAATTATTAGTAAAAAAGTATTACATGAGTTCGCCAATAAAATTAGGCATACACGAATTGGAACATCATATTTGTAGCGCGAGAACAATTTCTCTTTTTTCTTTTTGGCAGATGATGACATTCAAAAATAATTTGATTAGTATATATTTAAATTTAAATGTGTATTTAGGTGTTAATAAGTTATTTTCAAAAGCATTTAGCTAGCGTTTGGCCATAAATTCCCAAATGTATTTTTAAAAATCTGATTTGGATGAAGTTTCGTTTGAAGATGAAAATGTGTTTGGACATAAGTTTTCAAAACATATTTCACTTTTTTTTTTTGATAAAACATGAAACATGACTTATATCCACAAGTTCTAAAAATTATCACAAATACCCAACAATACCTTTATCAAAAACATTCATTATTTTATCGCAAACTATAGTCTTGAACATAAATAAATTTGGTACAAAATTATCATTTTTATAATGAACTACATAATACACTATCAATGATCGAGAAGACGAAGCAGCATTGTTACAAAATAATAAATGGTGGCTCTTTTATAAAATAAAAAAGTTTGGGCAATTTTTTAAAAATGTAATAGTGATATTATTTGCCAAATGTAGATAAAATCTATGGCCAAACATGTATTT